CTGTTGTGTTATTTTTTTGTTTTTATACCAATACCAATATGCATTTGTCTAATGATCTCAATGCAGGTGCAGGCATAGTAATCAAGTAAAGAGCATACTACCTTTTTTCTTTTACTAATATGACATTAGTAAAACAGTTACAAAATGTCTTGTCCACAATCAGCTAAATATTAGCAGCGTAAATGTCTCCAGAAATATACTCATAACTGCTTTTTGAAGCTACTATTAGGCAGCATTTGTAGCTTTTTGGTGTATTGGTGCATCCAAAATAAATAATCACTCACAGATGTTGTAAAATATCCACAATACCAGAACAAACTCATCAGTTAAATGTATGTGGTGGCCATAAAGAACTTTATTCTGTTAATTGAATTAGCTATAATTTCCCTTTTAGAAGAGGTGTTGGCTGGCTACCATTTCTATTATCTGCAATGTAAGAACTGTAACTTGTGACACGTGCAGGGCTTATGGCCAATGCTTGTCTTCTCCAGCAGAGGCAATAATATCCCAGCGAATAAGCTATTGTAATAAGCTGGCCTAATGTAGAGGCATATTCTCAAGGACTGTTGGGTGGAAAATTCATATGCTTGATGCTTCTTTATTTACACAACTGTCAGTAAGAACAAACCCAGCTATGTACTGGATTCAATGATTTATTTTTGCACTGTATCTACAGAGCTGTGAAAAAGTTGCATCTGTTCCTCCTTGTACATCTGATTTTTGTAAAGTACTAGGGCCATGAGTTGTTATCTTCATTCCATTTTTGTTTTCTTCACTGTTTGCTAGGATATCAGAGATGAGTATCTCTGAATTAAACTATTCTGTAGCGCAGATGTTTTATAACTGTTTGCATTTATTGAATGAAATAACAATATCTCTTTTACATCACTTCAGTCGTGGTTGGGTTTTAATTGTTGTAGTTTCTACAAATGGAACATGCTTGAATCAGAGTCCTGCAGTAAAAAAAAGTATGTAAAAGTATGCACAAAAATATGAAACATAGTATGTATGAAAAACACAATCCACTAAAATGTAAAAAGTACATGCAGCCATTGCCAAGATGTGGCTTCTGTAAAATTGTCTCGTCTCGTCGTCTCCCGCTTATCCGGATCCGGGTCGCGGGGGCAGCAGCCTCAGCAGAGAGGTCCAGACGGCCCTCTCCCCAGCCACTTCCACCAGTTCCTCCGGGAGAATCCCGAGGCGTTCCAAGGCCAGCCGAGAGATATAATCCCTCCAGCGTGTCCTTGGTCGACCTCGAGGTCTCCTCCCGGTGGGACATGCCCGAAACACCTCCCCGGGGAGGCGTCCAGGAGGCATCCTAACCAGATGCCCGAACCACCTCAACTGGCTCCTCTCGACATGGAGGAGCAGCGGCTCTACTCCGAGTCCCTCCCGGATGACCGAGCTCCTCACCCTATCTCTAAGGCTGAGCCCGGCCACCCTGCGGAGGAAACTCATTTCGGCCGCTTGTATCTCGTTCTTTCGGTCATTACCCAAAGCTCATGACCATAGGTGACCATAGGATCGACCGGAAAATTGAGAGCTTCGCCTTCCGGCTTAGCTCCCTCTTCCCCACAACGGACCGATTCAGCGTCCGCATCACTGCTGACGCCGCCCCAATCCGCCTGTCGATGTCCCGCTCCATCCTACCCTCACTCGTGAACAAGATCCCGAGATACTTAAACTCCTCCACCTGAGGCAAAGCCTCCCCCCCGACCTGAAGCGGGCAATCCACCCGTTTCCGGCTGAGAACCATGGCCTCAGACTTGGAGGTGCTGATTTTCATCCCAGCCGTTTCACACTCGGCCGCGAACCGCCCAAGCGAGAGCTGAAGGTCGGCGTTCGATGAAGCTAGGAGGACCACATCATCCGCAAAAAGCAGAGACGAGATCCTCCCGCCACCGAAACCAAACCCGTCCACCACCCGGCTGCGCCTAGAAATTCTGTCCATAAAAGTTATGAACAGAACCGGTGACAAAGGGCAGCCCTGGCGGAGTCCAACCCTCACCGGGAACAGGTCCGACTTACTGCCGGCTACGCGAACCAGACTCACACTCCTTTGGTACAGGGATTTAATGGCCACTAACAAGGGGCCATCCACCCCATACTCCCGGAGTGCCCCCCACAGGGAGCCCCTGGGAACACGGTCGTAAGCCTTCTCCAAATCCACAAAACACATGTGGACTGGATTGGCAAACTCCCATGCTCCCTCCAGCACCCCAGCGAGGGTAAAGAGCTGGTCCACAGTTCCACGCCCAGAACGAAAACCACATTGCTCCTCCTCGATCTGAGGTTCAACTATCGACCGGACCCTCTTTTCCAGTACCCTGGCACAGACCTTACCAGGGAGGCTGAGGAGTGTAATTCCCCGGTAGTTGGAACACACCCTCTGGTCTCCCTTCTTAAAGATGGCAACCACCACCCCGGTTTGCCACTCCAAAGGCACTGCTCCCGATGTCCACGCAATGTTGCAGAGGCGTGTCAACCAAGACAGCCCTACAACATCCAGAGCCTTGAGATACCTAGGGCGGATCTCATCAACCCCCGGGGCTCCGCCACCGCGCAGTTGTTTCACTACGTCGGCGACTTCTGCCCCGGAGATTAGATCATCCATCCCCAGGTTCTTGGCTCTGTTTCCTCCATGGAATACGTTTAGTGTGAGGAATTGATGGAGCATTCCTCAAAGTATCTTCCACCGTTCCACTATATATCCTCAGTTTTACGTTCAGCAGCTCCCCGCCCCCTCTGTAAACAGTGTGAGCGAGTTGCCGCCTCCCCCCTGAGGCGCCAGAACCTTTTGTGGATGCCGTCGAGTAGTCTTCCTCCATTGTCTCACCGAACTCCTCCCTAACGTCCGAGAGTTTTTGCCTGCAGCAACTGCCGCAGCTGCACTCCGCTTGGCCGCGGGTACCAGTCAGCTGATTCTTGAGACCTGCACAAGCGCAACCACGCCCTGTAGGGCCGTCTTCTTCACCTGACGGCTTCCCCGCACCTGCCGTTCCACCAGCGGTACGGGGATTACCGCCTACGGACGTGCACCAAGCCAACTGGCGGCCTTGACTTGCAACAGCCGCCTCAACAACAGCAGAGCGGAACAAGGCCCATTCGGACTCAATGTCCCCCACTGCCCTCGGGACGTGGTCGAAACTCTGCCGGAGGTGTGCGTTGAAAATCATCTTGACGGGTTCTTCCGCCAGGTTTTCCCAGCAGACCCTCACAACCCGTTTGGGCCTGCCAGGTCTGCGCGGCGTCTTCCCCCGCCATCTGATCCAACTCATCACCAGGTGGTGGTCGGTTGACAACTCTGCTCCTCTCTTCACCCGAGTGTCCAAAACATGCGGCCGCAGGTCTGATGAAACGACTACAAAGTCGATCATAGACCTGCGACCTAGGGTGTCCTGGTGCCATGTGCACCTGTGGACATCCTTATGCTTGAACATGGTGTTAGTTATGGCCAAGCTGTGACTAGCACAGAAGTCCAATAACTGAACTCCGCTCGGGTTCAGATCGGGCAGGCCGTTCCTCCCCACCACACCCTTCCAGGTCACGCTGTCATTGCCCACGTGAGCGTTGAAGTCTCCCAGTAGGACAATGGAGTCCCCTTTCGGGGCACTTTCCAGCACCTGTCCCAAGGACTCCAAAAAGGGCGGGTAGTCTGAACTGCTGTTCGGCGCATAAGCGACGACAACAGTCAGAACCCGATCCCCGACCCGAAGGCGCAGGGACGGAACCCTTTCGTCTACCGGGGTAAACTCCAACGTACAGGTAGAGAGCCTGGGGGACACCAAGAAGCCCACCCCGGCCCTCCGCCTCTCACCCGGTGTAAAATTGTTTATTTATTATTATTACATCAATTGATGAGAAGTATTTCAGTTGGCCTAACTGTTCAATATACTGTTCTTGTGCAAGGGCACAATGCCCTCCATCCTGTAGTCACAGCAAAACAGGATCTATGTCAAGGTAACAAACAAGCACTATGAAATAAGAACAGACTAAAAAGATTTGCATTAGTTGCTCATAGAAAATTATATTACTAACACACTTACTTATTAATTGTTTATAGCTGATCTATTAAGCATTAGTTAATGATTTATTGACCAATAATAGGTGGTGCCTTAATAGGAAACAGTACTGACATTCATACCTGCCATGTTTAAAATATAACATAACATCATATTAAATGAAAAATATAATGAAAGACATTTTTCTGCTAAATAAATATTAGCTAGGGCTACATCTTAAATGCAAGTAAACAGTAGCCTACGATATCTTTATTGGAGTCAAAGTTTTAAAATTCAAAACTTGATTTTTTTTTTTTTTAATTCAAAAATGTGTCTTTGTCGATGTTATGTCTTTTGGATGTTTTAGCTTCACTGTACAGAAGGATGTATGTTCAGAGTTCCTCTTGATCCTGGTCCAACAGGCAGCTTATGTGGAAACTTGAAGCCTTTTAAGTGCACACACACACACACACACACACACACACACACACACACACACACTGAGAATGGCTCTTGTATACAGTAGTTAATTTTTTGTTGCATAGGGCTATTCATAGATTCTGAATTTTTCAATGAGGGAAAAGGCTTAGGTGTCATTTAAGAATTACTAACCAGGTGGTGATTTTTTTTTTAAAATCAACATTTTGCTGCTTTGAATAATTATTTATACATAAATGTTAATAATATTTTTAAATATCTTGGATCATGTCTGGAGGGGATCTTTCGGAAATTTCTTGTCATTAATACAGGAGTAGTACATTGTAGGAGTGAAGATGAGAGGCTCTTTAAGTGTAGATACTTGAAAGCTATAGTTACATACCTGTAAGTTTTCCAAGGTATTTACCACCTCTCCTCACGCTTCAGGAACTCTCTGGTAATTTGCATTAATGCTCTCATTATGCATACGCAGTGTTGTATTTTGGAAATGCATGGTACCAAACACCAGGGGGCAACACACTCTTGGCCTGTGTAGCTGTGTATCCGGAACTTGTGCGACCATATTCATCGTTTTGAATCTGTAGTTCAACTAACCTGGTAGTTAGACTTAGCTAGTGTTGAACATTTATCAGCTATTTGTGCATTTATAAGATGTCGCCGAGCTGTTAAAGCAGCAGTGCGTGCGGAACAATGTAGCGGCGGTGAAGTAATGACAACTCATCACGGTGAGCTCATTTTCGATGAACGCATTTTTCGGGAATTAACGTCAGCTAGCTAAGTGAGCTAACCGTATAGCTAACACGTTTGCTAGTAACGGTTTGCCACCTGCCAAAGTTACTCGCATGTCCCAGTTCACACGCCTGTAGCCAACAGTACCTGCAACTGTGCGGTTTTTTGTCCATCGTCCGTTTTCCTAACGTTAGCTCGGCTACACTGGCCTTGCTAGTTATAGAGAATAAGTGCTGTCGCAAAAGCAAAAGTAATGGTGGTTATGGTGTAACGACTCCATCTGGGCAGCTGTGAGGCAGCTTCTCTGTCGCAGTCTGTTTAGCTTCAAACTAACTAGGCCACCGACATTTCACGTTACTGATTTGTTATGGTATCGATTAACGTTATTTAGTAATTCGGGTGGTAATCTTACATAGTTATGTTGGGCTCGTGGGCGTCGGTACTACGCATAACGATGAAGTTGTTACGTGATCTCATTGATCGGGAATTTGATGGCTGATTTATCTTAAATGCTATCATTGTGGTTTTGCAGACTTTGTTCGTTTACTATGAGCTCCCTATCAGCCCAGCCTCCGGCATCAAGCTCATCATGCAGGACTCTACCTGGAGAGGGAAATCAGGTACAATTAAACAAAAACTATATCATCTACTATGCTAGAACACTAGTTTAAGATTACGGAAAGAATGTATATTTGATGCTAAGTTGTGGTACTGTTTCTTTTTCCTTCCCAGGTACAACCAAAAGCCCCTCTCCTGCAGATTCTGCGTGTTGCTGGAGCCCAGGAAGAAGTCTTCACACTCAAAGAGGTGAGCTGTCAGATGAAATGTTAAGTACGTTTCTCAGTATGCAACCTTCGTAAGGTTGTACCTGAGAGGTGGCTCATTTCAGGGTTTAAAACTCCTTTTCTACTGGGTTCTTATAGGTAAAAGTCAGCCGTGTATGTGCCTTCTGATATCTAATGTCCAGTGTTTATTATTATAGGTGATGCACTACTTGGGTCAGTACATCATGGGGAAGCAACTGTATGACAAACAGAGGCAGCACATTGTCCATTGCCAGGATGACCCTTTGGGAGAGCTGCTGGAAGTGGACAGCTTCTCTGTCAAAAACCCAAGGTATTCACACATTGAAAATTGAGCTTCTGTTTATATTCAGCAATGCTGGAGTCTCATTTTAAAGATATACAACTAAAATGAAAGAACTCCATTCTAAGCTCTCATATTGTCATTTTCACAGCCCGGTGTATGAAATGCTCAAGAAATACTTGGTAGTTCTCGGTTGTGCTGGTAAGTGACAGTGACATTTAATCCCTTAATACATTTTTAATGTGAAATTATGTTTTTTGTCAAGGGGCATTGTCAAAGAACATGCAATATGTGGAAATACTTTTTATAGTTAGTACATTGTACCTTTTTGGTGACCTGAAATTCAACTGTCCTTTTCCTCTTCCCTTTGATGAATTCAGTATTTTATTTGCATCTTTACCATGGTATGTTTTAAGGGAAGATCCCAGGGAATATAGTGATTATCTTACTGCTATATCCAAACATCATCTTTTTTGTTTGCATACATTATGAGTGCCTGTGACAGTTTGCATCTGATGTGGGGATGCTGCACTGGACCAGAAGAACACTATTTTTCAGCTTGTCCTACAAAGCTACAGAAGGAGGCCTTAGTGAGAGAGTGTGTCATGCTATAATTAAAGGGTGGGGGTGTCCTTTTTCTGTTACTGTGTCTTATCTGAAATGCAGACGCTGCAGAGAATCTTTCTGTGGGCCGTGAATGTGTAGAGGGCGGAGTGGAGGATCGTGGTCAGGTAAAGCCGAAGCATGGTGCTCAGAAGAAACAGAGACCCCCAGCCTTTCTCACCTCATTACACACAACACTTGTGAATACAAAGGGACAGGTCCAGCAGCCTCAGTGCAAAGCTAAAACAAGCAAATCGTAATGATTTTTAACATCTACTGACCCTATAGTGCTGGACTGAGACCAGTAGGCCTTGGTGCAACACCAGAGTTTGTCTTAAGAGTATAAAGTGAGCTCCTGTCTGCTTGTGTGTAATAAGGAGGGGGGGTTGGTAAGGGCTGCTGTCTTCGTTGGTGTGCATTTGTACAGAGTAGCACCGTCTCTGTACAACCCCATCCTTGGATTGGTCTGGTGGTTTTTTCCACACTCTTGTGACCCACCAGCTCCACCCAGTGGATGGGGGGGGCAGAGTCACTGTCTCTGTCTGTCTCAGAGTTCTCTTCTCTGCTCCGAACTGGAGGATCACAGCTCCCAATCAGCCACGGGGCCTAACGACAACCCTAAACCTCTTCACCCATCCCCGTGTTCCTACACCCTCCTCTCCAATTCCCTCCAAAATCGCTTGTGTGTTCTCTCAACATTATTCACCTACAGTCAGGCCTAATGAATCAATTTATTTATTTATTTCTAATTGCTGCATGTGCTAAATCTTTTCTAGGAAGCTCTCAAATTTCAGCTCTGATCATACTTTAAATATGTTTTTCAAAAATCCATATTTCATCAATCAGATATGATTGTTAGTTATCAATGGGTAGACTTTAGATGCCCCCTCAATTTTGTTTTGTTTTTGTTTCCTCTGGTGTGAAAACATCTTACTTTATGATTGCACTTTCCATAGATACAGTATGTACTACACAAGACCATTTTATAAGATCTTTTTCTGATATTTTGTGTATCAGATAGCCTTAATGTTTTCTAATCATCATCGTATTGTAGAATAAGTCATTACTTAGTTTAAATTAGTTTGCACATACTACATAATAGAACTGTTTTGACTCACTAGTTCCATCACTGTGTTAATTAATATACTGGCTTTCCTGTCTGCCCTTTCTCTTTCTCTTTCTCTTTCTCTTTCTCTTTCTCTTTCTCTCTCTCTCTCTCTCTCTCTCTCTCTCTCTTAAGATTCCATACAGTTTCACTGTCCCTATTATCGCCTAAATTTGTTTTGAACTCCCTCCCCACCGGCCCCTACCCTAATTGCCCAGTTCCTTGCTCCCTGAACCACCACCCCACTCCCAGAGGCCATCTTGAAAAGGAGCTGCGAGTCCTCCAAGTGCCCAGTCATGGCTCTGTGTTCTAATTTTTGTCCTTCATATCTCCTTCCTCTGTAGATGTGCGGAGGTGTGGTCAAAGCAGGACTTGAGGCTGGCAGTGACGGGCCTCTCCTGCAGACCCCTTCCCAGAGACGACCTCGGGAGCCAGACGATGGTAAACAAACAGTCTGTTACATGCTCAGAAACACGCTCAGGACCAGATATGTTCAAAATGCTGATTTTTACTGTTTTAAAACCTCCCCAGAATCCCTTGAAGGCCTCCCACGGTCAGCCTGCAAACGGCCCAAACTGGATGTTACTCTGGACGACTGGGACCTCTCTGGCCTGCCCTGGTGGTTTCTGGGTAATCTCCGTAGTAACTACAGCCGTAGGAGCAACGGCTCTACTGATATCCACACAAACCAAGTAAGAAACCTTATGTGTTGTTAGTAAATCTAACTGTGTCAGGGTTAATGTGGGAGTTTTCAAATTTAAAAACATCTAACAAACATAATTCTTTGTTGGAAAATAGCATAAATTGGAATGTAACATTGGTGGTCTGACTGATGTGTCAGCTGTCTCCTGCACAGGAGGAGGACACGGCCATTGTATCTGACACCACAGATGACCTTTGGTTCTTGACCGAGGGTGAGAGTGAACAGGTGAGCGTCGAGATGAAAGAGGCTGCCCTAGAGGAAGGGAGCGGAGGAGAAGGGGATTCCCCACCTGAGGATGATGATGGAGGTGGGAAAGAGGAGAAGGCAGATCGAGAGGTAGGAGATTATTTTAATCCTTTGTCTTCACTGGTTCTGTTCTACTCATGCCAATAAAGATGCAATTTTTTTTTTTTTTTTTTTAGCATTTTCATTTCAGCAGGGTCATTCACTCTGACTCTTACTGATGATTAATTGATATTTCTGTTCTGAGAAGTAAAGAGTGAGGATAATATGGTCAGATGTCTTTATTTAGATGCAGGAGGAGCCAGATGAAGACTCCCAGTGTCTGAGTGATGACACGGATACAGAGATCTCTACACAGGTTTGTATCCTCGTATGTCATAGTTGTAGGTGTTTATAGTTGTAGATTAAAGCTTAAAAACTTAAACTTAAATAACATTTTGTGTCTGCTTTTTCCCTCAGGATGCATGGCAGTGCACAGAGTGCAGGAAGTACAATACACCTCTACAGAGGTACTGTGTTCGCTGCTGGGCTCTGCGTAAGAACTGGTACAAAGATGTCCCTCGACTTGCCCATTCTCTTTCTGTTCCCGACATCCCAGCATGCAGCTCCCTCAGCACCCATGATGAGGAAGATGACAGCGACACAGGCATTGATGTCCCAGACTGCAGCAGGACAGTGTCTGACCCTGTCATCCTGCCCTCTCAAGCCACAGCTGATCGGCCACTGCCTACTATGGTTATGGGGAAAGGCAAGGGGCCTCGGCCCTTGGGCTTCCACAAAGATGAGCAGCTCTCAGGAGGGGAGAGTCAGGAAAATCTAGGCATGGAGGTTGAAGAAGTTAGGCCTGAGGCCCTGCTGGAGCCATGCAAGCTCTGTCGAGTGCGACCACGCAATGGAAATATAATACATGGGCGTACAGCTCACCTGCTAACTTGCTTCCCCTGTGCAAGGCGGCTACATAAGTTCCAGGCCCCTTGTCCAGGATGTGGAAAGATCATTCAAAAAGTTATTAAGATATTCATCCTCTGAGAATCTCTCTCACTCACTAACTCACTAACTCAGTAACACACGCACACACACACACACACTCTCTCTCTCTCTCTCTCTCTCTCTCTCTCTCTCTCTCTCTCTCTCTCACACATTTTCAGGCATATTTCACCATACAGCTGCATGCACTCTGGTACACACACACACACACACAGGAAATGTGCACCTTAGCCCTAAACCTACACATACATACACACAAAAATCACACTTGGTGAAGCTTGCTCTTGGTTGCATGGTTTATTTTGCGTCACACTGCCTCTGAAGTATTGTTAGATGAGAATCTTGGACATAAGAGTTTGTCATACCAAATGTTTTAGTGCCACATTTAAATAAGGGACACACAAAGACAGAATTATTTATTTATTTATTAGAAGCTCATAGAAATGCACAGTTTGTGTGGACTATTATTTGATTTCATGAAGGCTTGTCTTTTTGGGCTACGTGAATTTTCTCATTGGTTTTTGCATTACATTTGTTTAATGGTGCCATTTTTAAAAACTAGTATTGCTTGCCCTAGTTTTATCAGTTTCTTCATAGATTCACTTCAGTCATCATCTGGACAAAAATCTGCAGGTATGTAACTACACGATTATTTTTTTAAAGCTTTCTCTAGGCTATTTTGTTCTTTTTTTATTTGACATTTTTTGTGTCCTCTTAGGTATTCTGGCTCTGAGATTTGAGTTATGAAGACAAGATTGAAGGAAGAACAGGCGAGCGAGTCTTAAAAACCACGATTGCGTTTTCAACAACTGCACTCCATGAAAATATCCTCTTAAGCCTTTTTCTTCCTAAAAAGAAGTTCTCTTAGCAAAAGTGAATGTACTGTTAAATACAAATGTGGTGGCTTAAGTCCTGTTTCACTCAACATAGTATTTTAAAATGTAGAATTGAGTTTAACCTGCTTGAGAATGCACAGCTGAAGTATTTACTGTAGTTTTCTCTCGGGGTAATAATTTGATGTTAATATGTATTCAATATTTACAATTGCCAAGCCTCTGATGACAGTTATGCCTGCAGTAACTTATGTCATATAATTGTCAGTTAATGTTTAAATGTTATCATTCAGAAAGGGTACTTTACCCTCTTTCCTGAACTAATGGTGAATGAACAATATCTGTATATTTTGTATTTAAGTTATTTATGAATCTGTTTTGTTTAGATGACCACCTGTAATGAAGCAGGAAAAGGCTGCACTTGTTACAGTAAAAGCATTTTCTGAAAGATAAAAAAGGAAGTCTTTAAGAAAACATGCTAAGTTACCAAAATGACTGTGCAGTACTTAGTAGGAGTTAGGGGTTTGATTTAAGCGTTACACTGCCAAGTAATGACTTTAACATTTAATTTGTATATAACAGATTTTATTTGAATGGTTCTGCATTATTTGAAGATTGTATATACTATTTACTTGGAATGAATTTCAGCGAGTGAGCTGTCTACAAATACAGTATGCTGTCCAGCTTTCACAAGTAAAATGTCCAGTGACATTTAACTCTTGATTGCGTGGTGTAGAGGGAATACCATAGTTATGTTTTCTGCTCTTGACATGCGCTTAATCTTTCTGCCAGCAGGTGGAGGGAAGTCTCAATATTGTATCTGGTGCATACAGAAGCTGTACAGTACCAGTAATAACATGTAATGCATAGATAGAGCATGCCTCCTGTCGTGACTAGCACCAGCACTGAGCTGGTGTGAGAGCTATATTAGCTATATAAAAGCTATAAAAGATTAATGTAGCCTGCTGTATTTATCACCATCATTGTGCGCCTGAGAAACAAACATCCTCTATAGACAGACCTCATAAAAATGGCTTAGTATGTATTACACCAGTGATACAAAATAAAACACAATTGTTGCAATGATTGATAGTAAGAATATAATGTGCTCACAGATGGTACAGCTAATATAGTTGTTGTTTTTCTACTGGTCATGGAATAAAATAAGTTGTTTTGTAAAGCAATAAAGAGTTGGGGGCTAATTGTTTCATTTAGGTTCCTTTCTCTCCAGAGGGACTATTGATGTACAGTACCCACTGGTGCAGTGTGTGTGTGTGTGTGTGTGTGTGTGTGTGTTTTGGCTGAAGAATAAGTCATTGTATGACAAGCCAGCTGTCATGTGTCCTCTCTGGCTTGATGGGGCTTCAGCACCTGCAACTCTCTTCTGCCTACTCACTGTTCTGCTGCTGCCTGTTTGTGTCCGCCTTCTTTTTGTCCTCTTGTTGCGAAGAGGGACAGACACCCTACCCTCTACAGTATATGTGACTGTAATGCTGCTGCTATCTAACTGGTGCATAAAAATAATGTGACTATTTTACCCCAGGGTGTTATTTAGATACTGTTTAGTCATTAGGGGATATTTCCTGGGTGTGGGAAGTCCCCTCTGAAGCTCTTCACCATCTGAAACTTCACAAGGGTTCAATAAGGCATCCAAGAGCCATATACAGGATGAGGGTAAAGAATAGTTTTACATATATTTCCAGAATATATAAATACTTCATACTAGTATAGACTAAATTATTTATTTCTTTGAAATTGCAGCTTTACTCATAGTCCTATGCGGAGGGTGTGATGCTTGGTCAAAAAAAAAAAATCCGCAGCAGAAGAAATATGCAGATCCTTTATGTAAGTGAAAGTACCAGTGCCACACTACAAAATACTCAATTACAAGTAAGATGCTTGCATTGAGGATGTTAAATAAAAGTAGTTGGGTATTATAGTGAAACTGTACCTAAAGTATTAAAGGGAACTCAACAAAGACTGTTATATTGTCATGTATTAGATTGTTATTCCTCATGAATGGTTGTGTAAGCTGCATTTTGCTGTTGTAAGTAGTTCATGTAGAGGTCATTTTTAAAAAACTATTATGTATTTACTATTTTCATCAGTAAATGTCTATTAAAATTACTCAGAGCTAAAAAGTGACACCTTCAAATTGCTTGTTTTATCCAACCAGTTTTGTAGATATCTAAATTACTATCTGTCATTTAAGACAAGGAAAAGCAGCAAATCCTCACATTTGAGAAACTAGAACAATAAACCACAAACAAAAATGTCATCAAAATAGTTTCTGTCTCTGGACCAATGAATCAGTACTTTCAGCTCTAATTTGATACATTGTTTGGTAGTTCAATCTACAATTGCTAGTGGAGTAGAAATATTAAGTATCATATGACATGGAAATACTCAACTAATTCATTTCCACTCAAATACAATACTTGAATGAATGTACTTTCCACCACAGGCAAACACCACATACTACAGAGGTAGGTCTTACTGCCCTCACTGTGACTTGCACTACAGGACTAAATGCTCCTAACAGTCATACCAAAATGCGTTCGCCTGCTGCGTCTGATTCAAGAATGGCATACTGCATTGTCCGTGGCGTCTGGCACGTCACAGAGCATAGAGAAAAAGAATGGCATCACACCCCTGGTGACATGGCACCCACAGCTTGGCAGCTCTCGAATGGCACAGCTCAGGGAGTGGTGGGGGATCTGGATGTTTCCATGGCGACAGTACCTCCATCCCAACATCCCAGAATAACTTAACACATTCTCCCTTTATCCCCTATGGCGTATGCAATACTTCCTAGTGGGAAAATAGTTAGGATGGAAGCTCTCATACTGAACATTGCTCCCATATTTTTCACCATTTTTATCATTTTATTGCTCTCACTGCCTTTAATCTTTTTTTTTGTTTTTCTTGTATTTATGAAACACCTTTATAAATATACATAGTATTTCTGTGTCACTCTCTTCCTGTGTCCTTTGTCTGCATTCCTCCAGGATGGCGAGCCGCAGCCTGTTTACCCTCCTTTGCTTTCTTCTGGTTATGTGTCTGGAGATCTGTAACTGTATCTGAGTGACCTGGACCTTTCTTTTCTCACCTCCAAGCAGACACACATACACATCACACACACACACACATTCCCACTGTTGTGTCCGACTATTTTGTCGCTCCAGAAACCAGTCCGCTAAATTTGTCCCACTGCTGACATGGGAGAAGGTCAGAGGAGCCAGAGAAAAACAAAGATAGGAGTATGGAAAAAGACAGAGAGAATTTCAAAATAAGAGTATAACTTGAAGAGAACAGGATAAGGATAGAGATGTGACACATTCGGATGAGATTCAAGGAGAAACAGAACTGAGCTCGTCTGTCCTTGTACCCACAGCAGGAAGCCAGATATGACAGATGATACTGAAGAGCTGGACTGACTGGGATCTGGGTATACAGCCATCCACTCAGATCTCACAACATCACTGCAGGCGTACACACATTACTGGCCTCAGACAGAATTCAACCGTGTCTCCTAGGGGAGTTATGCTGATTGCGGTTTACACTTGGGTAACATCAAGGTGTAAATTGCCTTCAAATTAAACTGGAGTGATTTTATGAGGGCTTAGCTTTACCCTGTCAGATACCGTTCTGATTAACTGAAGTTAAACTGGCAGTGTCACAGAAATGGATGCTCTTTGTTTTTCTGCCTGCGACGCCTGTTTTGAGTATCAAACAACCCGTGGCATTATTGGAATATAAAGTATGTCATGCAAATAATTTTGTAGCAATGGAGCACAGGTTATTTACAGTGAATAACTTTAGCGTTACCATGTGCTGCAAAGTATGTTAGTGGGAAGTGGGTTATGTTCCTGGGTATGAGTATGTAAGTGTGTTTGTGTACTGTATGTGTGTGGAGCCTTGTAGTGGGTGGGATGCCAGTGAAGGGAAGGGCAGCGGATGGCTCAGGGGCTCAGTCCATTCCTGCGATTTAACATGACACCACTTGCACTAAGACTGCGACAGCTGCGTATGCACATGCCGGCCATTCTGTTTGTTGTAGGGGATTACTCTGCGATAAAAGCCCCAGTGAGCAGCAGCATGGCTGGGCTACACAACTACTGTTTCCCCCCTGATTTTGAAAGCTTTCTCCAGGCCTCCAGAGCCCTGTGAAAACACAGGTGGGGCACTTCATTCTGAACAGGAATGAATGGGAGTATTCTCCTGATGATTAGCCGGGCCGCAATAGTGTCACATCACCTTTAGACATCAGTCAAATGGTACAGCACTGCAGCTTATGTAAGGTTCATTACTCAACAGAAATAGTTAGGGAGAGGCACTTGGGAGTGTAGTAATCAGCTCTGACTGCTCCCATTCATTTGTTTCAGAGTAGTAAGGTGACTGATTTGCTTTCACTGTGCTGAGCATACAGATGATCATCTGGGAGGAGTACACTGCTTTGTCATCTTTCACCATTAATGCTGTATAATCAGTGTAATGTCCCCATTATCTCAGAGAGAAAAGCTCCACATTCTGCTGTATGAAAAACTGATATCAAAGGCTTCAGTAATAGACGTGCAGTTATCATGGTGACAGAATAAAAACAACCTCTGAGGCGACACACTTGGGCATCTGTTGCTGTCACTATGGTGACATGTCCTCTCCCAAAGGTACTTCATCTCATACATGATATTGTTGCATGAGTGCAGACAGAAAGCTGCATTTCAGGAGTAATACAGAAACAGTCAATGCAGTTTAAACCCAGAAATTAGACACATTTCCTTTCCTTCTTTCCCCATTTTCTACCATTTCCTTTTACTGTATGTTCTCTAAAATCCCTTCCCCATGTTTAAATCATTGCTGCCACAATCATATACATTTTGTAGGCAAGAAGTAAGTGGAGGGTAACCCCATTTAAACTTTGTTTACCTACATTATGAGTGATGCAATAGAACCTTGCCAGGTTTTGGTAAGTTGACACAAACGTAAATACGGTAAATTAATTACATTCAATATCAGTGAACTAATTCCATTTCATTAAAAATGGGTCGCAAAGAGAAAAAAACAAAGTTTATATTGTAGGTTCCATATTTCCTGATAATGTCCTTGAAAAGAACTGTTGTAAATGTACATTATTAGGAGGGGTTCCTGGAAAAATGTAAATTGGTAGGTATTGTAGAGAAAATGGAGATTGTAAATGAATTCCAAAAAACGGAACCTTGTGAATCCTACTATTTAACAAATATGAAGAATACATTTCCAATGATAAATTAATATTTACTTGGGTTTAAATAAATCTCTGTTAGTCTTTTCTGTCATTCAGATTTTAGCTGTAAACTAAAAGGACTAACCAAACTCAAATAACTCTCCCAGAGCATTGTCTCTATTTTCTTTTTAAGCCATTTCAAACGATCTAGTTCTTTCATCGAAACTTCTTTGGGTATGAATAAGAAAATAGAAGCCCTGTAAAATAAAGCATCATCAAACATTTGTCTGATTTTGTGGTATACTATATTGTATCTCACTGGATTGATATCAAGGTTTATCCACCTTTAATCAACTCCTTTACTGTTGTTTTGTTATTCTCCTCTTACATATCTGAGATTTCCAGACTGCGCTCAGATGACAGTTCTCCAGGTCAGTGATGATCTTGAGGCTAACCTGGGGTGAGGAGGACTGATCCCTCCCCCTCCTCCTCCCTCCAGCTCAGCTGTCCCACAATGTGCTGCTGCTTGTCAACGAGGAGAAGTGGAACAGTGTTGCCAGTGACAGGGCAATCCCTGCTACACACACACACACACACACACACACACACACACACACACACACACACACACAAACGTGCAAGCGCACATACATAAGCATGCACACATGGCAACCCACACACACTTGCGCACACATACTGTACAAATTGTATTTTGTGTACAAATACATTTTTTCAGTGTAACTAACTCACACAGTTATCACAGTATTTCTCAAATTGAAGTTTTTGGTTTCTCTGAGATGTTTATTTGTTCCATCAATAGATGTGCTCTTTATAATAACATCAAAAGTGATAATAGTTAATAAAATATGTATTCATTCTGTGTTACCTTTCACATGTGGGTGATCAGGTACAAACGGCTATAATATGAGGCACCAGTCAGACAAATGAAATCCAGTTATAACTGGAACAGTCACTTGAATAAATGTTTTATCTGATTTGTATTTTATTAGTCTAGTTTGATTCCTTCACTGGTTTTAATCTGACTAAATTAAAGATGGAAGATACAGTTTGTATAGTATCTGCACATAGTGAGTAAACACTCAGTCCTCCCAGGTTTACTGCATCTCAAGTGTTCACTTCAAAATGCTGAGAGGGGACTCAAACGAGACACAAGTGTGTGCCTGACACTACTACAAAACACACACAGAAACGCACACACACACGTTCTCCAGTTCTGCTGACAATGGGTTAAGATGACAGAGGGTTATGAGTGACTCTGACACACTGCAGACCCCCTCCTTGCTGTACCCCTGAGTCCAACACAGGCGTCTTTGTACTTGCTCCACCATCAGTGACTATCCATCACAGACTAACCTGACAGCCCACCGCAGCCCTGCGCCAAGCTACGGCTCTCTGCTTCACCCCCAAACTCGAGACCAAAGCCCAGGACTACACCACGACCCACCAGTCAGGCCTGCCAAACCACTGCCAGTCATGCAGTCAGTCCCAGAGCTGAAAATTGAAGATTTCTATAACACGAAGTTACATAATTTCACTCACTTTTCAGCAAGCCATAAGTCATTATATTTGTTATTATAACTAAAATCCTAATACCCCAAAATGAGGAAAATGTGAGTTAGAATTAAAATTAGAAAATGGATAGGGTGAAAGAATAGGTTTAATTAAATTGTTGAATAACAATGGTAAATATACTGTAAGTAAAGGATACTGAATTGTGAAATGTAGAGACTATCATAAGTAATGTTTCTAACTAGGCTCCTGTTTCAGACAACACACTGTATAATTGTTTTATTGTTAGCACTTCTTGTGCGATTTTACATATATTCAGGCTTCCTGCACACCTGCATGTAGTAAAGCACTAATTAAGAGTTCCATTAAGAGCAGGGAAAGCACAGGTGTAATTAACTACAGTGTTGACAGCTCTGCTCCATTTAGATGTGCCAGTGAACTATCCCCTTGAGCCAGCATGTACCAAATCATGACCCTGGAGAAGACACACTTAAATGGAATGCAGCCATCGTTACTGTCATTAATTACACCTGTGCTTTTTCTAACATGGCATGTCAAAGTGTAATGTAACATGTCGTTTGAAACATTTTACAGATATTCATGAATAGCATTCTGGTTAACGAGCTGCCACAGATGCCTCATTAGATTAATCAAGAGACACATCTCCAAAAGACAAAACAGTAAGTCACAAACATTAAATAATGCTTTTATACCTCGTCATTTAAAGTTTTTTCTGATTTTAATTTCATTTAAAATTACATTGCTTTGACCAAAGACTCAATTTGGTGCCACAGCAGTATACAGTTTACGGACGGCTAACATTGCCTTCACTGGTGTAATTACATGACAAAAGTTAGCTGCTGTTGCTAAGTAGCTATTAGAACAGGCTGGTGCTAACTGTGTTCAGGTGAGGTAGTTAGGCCACACAGTCCTCTGGCTGTATTCATCTCATCCTAACATCATATCTTGTGAGAAATATTGGAAATGTTATAAATGATCTAGTGAAAGGTAAATAGAAAAGTGAAATAAATCAAGTTTTAATGTATAAACTGATTGATTACAGAAAAGTATTAAGCTTTGTCTTTTTTATATCCTATTTTAAATAGTTTTTAGATTTTTATATTCTCTGTTAGATGAAAGTAAAGAGAGAGAGAAAGGACAACATGACAAATGTCCCAGGCTTGGCTTTATGCGTCATTGGCAGTGGTATGCAGTCACCAGTATGTCCCTGTACATTTTATGTAGCGTGGCCACAAAACAGAGCGATCCCCTTGTCCAGAAACATTTCCTGCCAGATATGTGTATTACAGTGATTAACCTATGGTGGTGATATGGGATACACAGGGATGTAACACATCTCACACTATGCCTGTCATTCCAGGCCACTTCTCTGCTGACAGAACTGTGTGTTTTGGCTGGCCGTCCATGCTAGTGGAAGCCAGTCCGAATTAGCTGGTGAGCTATGAGGTGAGACATGTCCTGGAAGGATTAACACCCGGTGGCAAGGCTAAGGCTACGACTGACTGGAAGAGGTCAGGACAATACAAGGCCATACCTCTGAGTGGTCGTCTCATTATTGTCTCTTGATTCCTGAGAGTAATGGGAGCTGGTGTCAACTTAGTGCTCAATTCACTTTACTGTACTCTGTCCGTTCCTGCACAGGCCTGTCTGGTATAGCTCAGATGGTCACTTGCATCACTATGTGCAATCATCTTATAAGGAAAGTCAGCAGATATGAATGTGGTTACATAAAACCAAGACTCACCAACAATGGCAGGAGCTTTTATGTCATCTGAGCTTTTACATATTTAGCACCAACCTCGCTGATCATTCTGGACCATCAGTCATAACAGAGTACAAGAGTTTACATGTGACCCAGTTTCGAGTAAACAACAATCTCTGGCTTTGTTTCCTTCCCATCTAGAACTAGGAGTCAAACAACTTCTTGTCATTGCATATCATTGGCTCCTAGTAGAAGTGACAGCTGTCTCCGGACCCCCCCAACCCACCAATGGCAGGGACATGTATGGTGTCATGGAGAGAGACGCGAGTTTGGGATTAGCTCATTAAGACGGGCATCTTTGATCCGGGGTTATCTCTCCCATTTCCACGGGAACTTGATCATATCCTGGCCTCTTAAGACACACACGAGCACACAAACCCGCACAAGGGCACGTACTCACACACACACACAAACGGGCCTTAAAGCCCTAGAGACCAGGGCCCAACAGAGATGTGAAGTGTAGATGTGCAGCAACAGCTAAACGTCAGGTCAGGTTTCTGGGGGCTCGTGCTAAATTTAACCCTGTGATCCTGCAGCAGGCAGAGGGGTTTAAATGCCAGCCTACAGTTGCTCCACACCAGTTGTTCTCCACACGTCTTCCACTCATCACAAACTCAGGCCGGGGACGAAGACAGACACACACACACGTACACTCCGACACACACGCTCCTGGCAGAGGACTGAAGACCACAAACAGTAGAGCAGTTCCAGGGGAAGCAGGGATCTTTGTCCCCTTAAATCCAGTCCACAGCGTTGTCCAGTATGGAGCTTTTTGAGACCAACCCTTATTTCTTCCCTGACCAGCGCTTCTACGAGGGAGGGGACAGCTATTTCCCTTCTCGCCTGCCTGGGGGGTACGACCAAGCCAGCTACCAGGACAGGAACTCCATGATGGGCTTGTGCGGGAGTCTGTCTGGGGGTGTCGGAGTTGGGGTCACAGGAACAGAGGACAAAGCCTCTCCGTCCAGCCTGTCACCTCATTCTGAGCCTCACTGCCCGGGCCAGTGCCTTCCCTGGGCCTGTAAGCTATGCAAAAGGAAGACAGTGACCATGGACCGCCGGAGAGCGGCCACACTGAGGGAGAAGAGGCGTCTGAAGAAGGTGAATGAGGCTTTTGATGCCCTGAAGAGGAGCACCCTGATGAACCCCAACCAGAGGCTGCCCAAGGTGGAGATCTTGCGGAGCGCCATCCAGTATATCGAAAGGCTCCAGGCCCTGGTGTCCTCCCTCAACCAGCAGGACACTGAGACAGGACAGCAGGGGCTGCACTACCGACCCAGTCCGACCCAGCCCAGAGTGAGTAGGACAGAGGAGGGATGAGGAGAAGCAGAAGGTCACATATTAAAACAATGAGAACAGAGAGAAAGCAGACAGAAAGGACAGACAGGGAAAAGACAAATGACAGAAAGGTGGAGTAGAGAAAGAAATACTAGATAAGCAAAATTTGGAAAATTGCTCACAGTAAACAGACAATGTGTGACTTTGATGAAGTGATCTGCTCAAAAGCCTGCTTGGGAATTGATCGCTGGGGATAAGTTTTTAAGTTATGATCCGATTTTCATCTGATATTTCAATGAGACATCAAGCATACAAGCATAACAGTGATGAGATGTCAAAATACAGCAAGAACAGTCAACTTCAGTCAAAATCCATTAACAACTGTCACTGTCAAATGGTCTTGATGTTGCAAGATCTCTTATATAATTTTCTGATTGCAAGGTCTTGCTGAGACAGTGTTCTTGTGGGTGTCACAGGATGTATTGGTTGTGTGTGTGTGTGTGTGTGTGTGTGTGTGTGTGTGTGTGTGTGTATGTGTACGTGTACACTGCACTGTGGTGTGTTGTATGTCTATATGGGGCAGAGTGTGCCATGTCATAACACAGAGTGACTGACAGCAACTTCTGTGTGTGCATCTCCATGGTAACAGGTGTTGTCGTCAAGCGAGCCCAGTTCAGGCAGCACCTGCTGCAGTAGCCCAGAGTGGAGCAGCACTCCAGAGCAGTGCACGCAGAGCTACAGCAGCGAGGGTGAGTACAGTTCACACACACTCTCATTAGGCGGCACAATCAGATAAGTGTGCCCTCACTCAGATACTGAATGTGTGACCGGGTCTCTCTGCAGATCTCCTGAGTGCTGCTGACTCTCCAGAGCAGGGGAACATGCGTGCGCTGACCTCCATCGTGGATGGCATTTCTGCAGCAGATGGAGCTGTGGCCTTTCCTGTGGACATTCCCAAATAGACCCTCCACGCGTTGGACCCATAGGTGCACAGAGATCCACAAACAAAAAGGAAATTTACAATTGGCATGGAGGCTGACAACCAATCCCAAATTCCAGTTTAATTTATTTTCAGCTCTGCTGATTTGAGTGTTTTGTCTTATGCAAAATTTTTAAATTTTTGGTTTATCAGGATTGTAACTCTGCTGATCTATGGGTGTGCTAGCCAAACTGAATTCCTCCTGTTCACAATGAGGCCTTATTCCCTTTATTCCCTGCCTTATCCTGTGGTCCAGACCTGCCTGTCAGATCCACAGGAGCTCAGTCTAGAGATTCAATAACTTTGCTGCATGAACCCAACACCTAGTTACTAGTGTGGATCGCTGAAATGTCTCCAGTCTGATAGAGCTACAGAGGAATAACAAAACCTGTTTTTTTTCCTTACTTAATTTAAGTTTTCCTCTTTTCGAAACCTTTCCCTGATCTTTCATTCTTTTTGTGTGTGTTTTTATGCTTAAAAAAACATGAGTTTATTTGTGGGGCCAATATGTACCATGGCAGTTTTGACCAAGATCTGCTTAATTTAAACTGGTTATGAATGCTAGTGATGTAAATACGTTCCCTTTTTCTACAGAGTGGTTTTGCCATTTTATTTTTTATTTTTTGCTAACTTATTTTTGACTTTTATAACTAAGATTGTTGTGTATTTGTAGATGTTCCAAAAAAGTGATATTTTCTGTCCAATTCTTGCAATAAAGACCATTTTCAATACATTGCCCACTGCTCACTGACTGACTTACACTTAAGCGGTGATAACTTCACAAGGAACACAACATCCAACATTTTTAAAAAACAGCTTTACTTATGTCTATATAGTGTCATAAATACAGTACACTTTTTTAAATAGCCAAATAATAAAATCTTGATTTGTCAGCATTGTTTCACACCTGGAATAAAGACACAGTACTCATAGCTGCCACATAGCACATTACACCTTTTAGACACCTTGGAAAAACTGTAAAATAAAATAAAATAAAATAAGAGAAAAAAGAAAAAAGAAAAGAAAAGAAAGATTGTACACCCATCCAGCACTTCACTGGTTAATATGCTGTGTTCTCATTGGATGAGGAGTTGGTCAGCCAAGAGTACTGACTGCTCACTGGCACGTCTCTATGGCAACTAAATGGGAGGTGACGGGACAGGATTGGACGAGTCCGTCACGTTGAGCAGTTTATGGTGGATATCATTGGCTGATGTTGAGCAGCAGTTTACAGTTTGATTTGAGAGAAAAGTAAGGAATCGACAGAGAGGAGCTACAGTGTTCACACTACCCATCCGCAGAAAAGAGTCAAAGTCACATGGCTGGGGTCGGCCTTTCATACACAACCTCTCTATAAGTCTCAAGTGGAGAGACTCTTTTGTCCTGTCCACACAAACACACACACATACACACACACACGCACACACCATATTAAAGGATTCTCTCTATTCTAGGCTACATAGTGTCATACAGAAGGCGAAAGAGGCGGAGAGAGGAGAGGTAACAGCTACATAGTGTCAAAAGAGGAGGAGGAGGGAAAAGGAAAGAACTGGAGAAAGAGGCAAAGAGAGAAGTCTGAAATTGGACCCATGAACCTGTGAAGAGTCCTTGTAGAAACATACCCCCTCCATTGTGAGTCCCTCCCACTAACGATTCACACACTTACAGCATACGGCAAAAGACACACAAAGGTCCGACACAGAGAGAAAGAGAAAGAAAGAGAAAGAGAGAGAGAGAGAGAACAGTCACTATCGAATACAGGGCATTGGGTTTCATACAGCAATGATATTATATTATTTTCCATATATATTTCCAATATATATATATATATATATATATATATATTTCTATAAAAAACATAAGTCATCCATTTTATGTACAGAGACGATAAATGAGTAATACCTTGCATAACCGGTAGAGGGGCAATGTGCAGTGGGATCTGCCATTTATACAAGTATTCATCATTCCCAAGTCCAAATCAACAGCTGGCCACCATCACTTTAAATGTTTTTTTTACACTGATCACCTATTGTGTTTCCTAGGATGTGATGACACAACAGAATTGATTTGGACTTGGCCATGTTGAGACTAATAGAACCAGGACAAGAACCCACAGCTGAGACCAGGGGAGCAGGAGCACAACACCACAACAACAAGGCTACTGGGAGCACTGGGGTAAACTGGGAGAGACCGGGATGAGTCTCCTTTACAGCAGCGAGCGCAGCCAATGAGCACTCTCAAGAGTTCAAAGGTCCAAGTTGGCCTCTGTATTGCACGTGTCCGAAGGAGAGGTGAGAGGTGAAAGATGGGAGGTGAGGCTGGGCGACAAAGGAGTGAAGACCCCCCCAGTGGCACCCAGCTCTTCCTCTCCAGATTTGGCATATCACTCTCAAAAGGCCGCAAGCATGTGTCCGTATAGGTAATGAGAATGCACTAGAAGAGGAAAAAAAAAAAAACGAGACAGGAAAGTGAGACAGGAAGAAAGAGAAAGACTGAGTCTGTATTTGCTGCTGGGTTTTACTTTGACATGTACAATACAAGCACTTATCAAAATGAGGTTTATTTCCTAGACTTACATTGGGAAAATAAATGCAAATAAATAAATGCAAAAAAAAAAGATTAAAAAGAAATTAAACCATTCTCATAGAAATCTATACTCTTCATTTTGAGCAACACTTTTCACACTGTTTACTAGCTAAAAGGCCTAAATAAGCCAGGTAACACGTATCAGTACATTAGGTTGGTACTGTAAAGGTCGTGCCACATTCCTGCCTCATGCCACACAGCTGGGCAATGCTGGTTAAAAGCAAACTAACCTGGAAGTTCAGCAGTTTCAGGTAGCGTTTTGTCAGCTTACCTGTTAGCATTAGCGCTCCTGTTAGTAAGCAGAGAATAGTTAGCATGAATAGGTCCGCACGGCCGAGGGGTCGAGTCTCGGGGGCGCCGGGGGAGGAGCTTGAGAGGATGTGGCACAGTGGAGTGTGGGCACAGAAGGACAGAGAGGACAGAGCATGCAGTTAGTCAGTCAGGACAAGCAGACAGAATGGTAAGCACAAAGATACACACAGAAAAATGCAAAGGCTGAGGCAGAATAGTTTGGTTAGTACTGTAACACACCTTCAGGCTGGAGCTGTTTCTTGGGCACCAAATTCACAGAGGGCGGCATGGACATGGAGGGCATACGGAAGCCGGCAGGCAGTGTTTCCATGGAGCCTGCCATCATCCCTAGCCCTGCCCCTCCCTCACGTGCCCGAAACCTCTTACGCCATGACGGAGAGCGTCGAAAAGACTTGTCATCCCCACTCTACAGGAAAGCGAGGTCAGACAATTGGCCCTTTTTCAACAATATTGTATTTGATCAAAACAGCAGCTTGAAAGGTCACCTCCTCTAGTCGACGGTCAGTCCCCAAGGCTAACAGGTTGTTGAACTCCCTCTCCAGAACCTGCCGTGCCTGAAAAACAGTGCAGACAGCTTCTGTGAGCAGGACACACAATGACACTGTGAGTGAACCAACCAGGGTCAAAAATAAACATGAGCTGAAGGCAAAATGTCAATGAAAGCTCTTGAAATACCTGTAAATTTTTGAAAGAGTTCCTCTACAAATTAGAAATAGCCCTCAATGTTTTAGTTGAACTGCCAAAAACAATCACCTATAAATATGAAACTGGGCAAGTAATCTGTACTGAAGCCTGTGACCAGGGAAGTCTTTTAAGTGAATTCTGGGTGAGAACAACTGAGCACTTCTGATCTGAGAACAGCTGATACAGAATCTGAAGCAAAACAGAATCTGAAGCAATACTAAATGTTGGCACCATCTTAGATGGAGTAGAGGGAAATGCTGAATGAACACAAACCACTGTGTCGACAACTAAATCAACTAATCTCATAAAAACCTCAACAACCATGACTGTTGGAAGATGGACTGGTTACAGAAAGGCCATTAGGCCTGCTGTGAGCTGTGAAGAAGTGTCGAATATGTAGGATATTAAGGTATAAAATGAAACAAATCTTATTGGTACAAATTTAGCATATTCTATACAAATTAATTTTTTCATAATTCATTAAGACTGCCCACAAAATGGAACAACTGCCCTTAAAATCGGCTCATATAACACTCGATATCTTTCTCCCACTCAAGTCTGTTCAATCAATGCATGCTGAGTGTAAACAGTTGTGCTTTCCTCTATAACCACCTGTGTGTTCTGCATAGGGATCTGCAGGATCAGCGCAAGGCTGCTGTAGTCGAACGTCTCGTCCAGAGCGATGAGTGCCCCGTGAACACCACTCTCCAACAGGTTACCACTATACTCCCTCAGACCAATAGACTGGACCCAGTGGATCACCTGCTCGTTGGTCCACACCAACACATCTAAAGTAAAAGAGAGTGGCTCAGATTTGTGTTACTGTAGAGAACTGAAGAAGAGAACTAGAAAGAGAAAGACAGAGAGAGAGATAAAGAGAAAATGTGCGTGTCCACGTAGTGTCAACTCACTGGCACACTCCCTTTGTTCATTTAAAGCACAGCTGTCAGCCAGCTTTCCAACTTGGAACAGGCGGTCTGTGTGCGTGTGTGTCTGTGTGTGTGTGTCTGTGTGTGTGTGCGTGTGTGTAAACAGGGAAGGATTCTGATTTGACATGACAGCTGAGTCAAGTTCATGTGCAGAACTCAAGGTCAAAAGGGCGAGAGGACTGGCTAGATCTGACTGTGTCTGTGTGTGTGCATGTGTGTGTGGACTCCTCTTTATATGTGGAGCTTTGGATCGTAAGACTGGAGGCCTGCTTCAGTTGGCTTTTTGACAGTCTAAGATGCAGCTGTCTCAATGCTCAGGCCAAATGAACAATATCAGGCAAAACCACTAGGTGGTACTCTGGCCTGATGAGACTTTGGTTGAGTGTGAACTAGTCTCTGAATGTGTGCTTGCTATTTTGCTTTTTTTTGTCACTGTGTGTGTTTTGGGGTGTGTGTAAAGTGTACCTTTCATGTCGTGTTGGCTGTCCTCTCTCCGGCGCTCCAGGTCTTTCCTGTCATAATTGAGTCTCTTCAAGCACATAATCCCATACTGCAGACTAGCCCTGATACAACATACACACGCACAAACATACGCACACATCAACATGACAGACCAAACAAGCTCACACACACACACACACACACACACACACACACACACACACACACACACACACACACATCACACACACACACACACACACACACACAGGCACACACACACACAGAGCGAGAGAGAAGGATAAGCACATATGCATCATTAGCCTTCTCATCTCCAATGGTAATGTATCCAGTTAGCAGGTGAAGGCATAGGCTGATCAAACAGCAGCTGAGCTAATCGCCATGGCCACAGACCTATGGAAGCTATCCACCATCTTGAGGTGGCTCCTCAGGTCCTTCTTGGTCAGGTGGTCGAGCATGCGTGCGTCCACCAGGCACTCCATGAAGTAGGAGCGGTACTGAGGCAGACCAAGACTGGGCAGCCACTCGTTCCCTATCCACTCGTGATTCATGTCTCCATACGCCAGAGTCTACGCAGAGAGGAGGACATAATGTTACTAATTTGTGCAACAGAAAAAGAGAGAATGCTCTCTATTTACACCCTACATGTGTTAATGGATGTGTATAACTAATAAAAATATGTGTATATTTCATGTGCAAACACTGACAGATACAAGTGTTTGAACTTGTTTCACTGTGGGTCCAAAAGTACAACAGGCCTTTTTCAGAGCAGACAGCTCAGCATGTCACATCAGCAAAAGCAAAGGTGTTACTAATAACATTAGCATTATGCATGCCAGCTCACTGTCACTACTTACTGGGACACCAAAATGGAATTGAGCCATCGTTAATGTTATTAGTTACACCTGTGACTTTCCTGCTATGACAAGTCAAAATGTGTAATGTGAAATAAAAATACTTTGTACACTGCTCTATCTGAAAAGCATAAACATGTACAGGGCAGTAAAATTTGAGCACCTAAAGGCCCTGCACCGCCCCATTGGTGCCTTTAGTTATTCTGTGGGATTAGACCTCTACTCAGGTTGATGCTAGTTGGAGCTTTGAAGGGAAATACAATAGGGGCAGTAAACTGAATGTCTCAATAGGCCTTCTTCACAGCAAAAATGTTTTTTTGCAATTTCACAACAGGAAGAAACAGGTCCTAAAAAAAAAAAAAAAACTAAAATCAAGGATGGCTGAATACAGTTCAGCTGCTTCAGTTTCAGAGTCCAGGTGTTGTACATGCTGGCTCACTGTCATGGGACACCTGAATATAACAGAGCCATCATCAGTGTTATTAGTAACACCTGTGCTTTGTAGTGGTCTAATCAGGTAAACTAAGTGAAAACACCTGTGTAGGTGGACCATGACTGTGGGGGAGCTTTAGCAACTACAGTTTCCTGAGGCATTGAAAGTGTGCAAGTTATTTGTCAATGCAAAGAAAAAGATCCTCGTATATTATTTTAAGTCATTTCACTTAAATTACAAAGAGATATCTTTCCACGCTTACTGGCGCCTTACCATAGTTTTGCAATTTTGTTTTAATGTGTCAAGGTTGTGAGGTATTGGTCTCTGAGCTTTCTGTTGGCAACCCCATTGCCAACAGAAAGCTGAAACTGAAAGGAATTCAAATTTTGGTGTTCAAAATATCGAAAAATGACACCTGAAAAAGTCAGCTGCAATGTATTTTAACCAAAAAATGTCACATTTGCTCTGTGTCCTGCAAGAAAGCTCTTTGTTAATGCCAAATCTCCTGTCATGTTCCATCTGAGTACAGAATATAATGCTGAATGTGATTAAGATGCTGTTCAATGTTTGAGTGTGTGTGTGTGTGTGAGTGTGTGTGTGTGTGTGTTAGTGAAGAGCGCTGGCGCAAATTCAGTGTTTGAGCAGACAAATGTTAACAAATCAGCGACCTCACCTGTGCCCAGCTGCCCTCCTCATTCTCCTGAGTGGCAGCAAGGTAGAGACAATATACAAGGTTAGAGAGACAGGGGCTAACCAAAAACACACGCATGCACGAACACACACACACACACACACACACAGACACACACACACACACACACACACACACACACACACACACACACACACACACAAACACACTTTTGCTTTTGAGTTTTTACTTTGCAGCTAACCTTTAATCATATCAGTTAATTACATATCAACACTCATGTTCAATTGACTCCGACATATAAAAACCAGCGTGAGCACAAAATGCGTTAGCGTGGATATTTAAAGGGGTCTTCCGGGAGAGGACATATGTGTGTCGTGGTGGGGACGGTGTGAGTGTGAGAGAGTGTTTAGTGGGGGATAAAGGGGAGGGGAGCACCCAGATGGTACTGACCGCTTTAGTGGAGGAAGCCAGGTTCTCCATCTCTTCATGAGTCACCCACACATTTCCGGAGGACTGCTCAGAGAACAAAAACACACCCGAACACGAACACACACACACACATACACACACACACACACACACGAAAACACACCCAAGAATGCACTCATGTGTGCATTTTCACACATACCGACCCCCACGCACACACACCCAGACAAACATTGTGTTGAGTGATGCCAAGGGAGGGAGTGTATTTCAGGCAGGTAGCTTATAGCTATATCTGGCACGATTTGTGTGTCATTTTCCCACAGAACCCCATGCAATTTATGGCAGCAGAAAAGGACAAGTCAGCCCAGTCAAAGGCAGAAACCAATCTCCTCCGTGTTCCAAGCAGAAGAACAAAAGAAGCAAAGGAGGTCACCCCAGGGTGCAGTGAAGGTTTAGCCAAATAGTGGCAGAGGTTTTGAGTGTAGTTAAGTTGTGTATAGGGTAAATGTGTTAATTCATCTATTTGATATTTGTGTACATGCAGAAAAAATGCAGTATGTGTGTGTTGATGTGAGGTGTGTTTGGGTGTGATCTCGTTTACCGTTCTGGAGGTGAGTGGGGCAGAGGGGCTGGTGAGGGAGACCATCTCCTGGATGGCCAAGCGGAGTTTGAGTCGGTGCAGAGGGTTGCTGATGCCAATCTCCCTCTGGATCTCTGTGTCTGACAGAGCTGACATGATGGCTCCGCTCTTCACGTTGGCGCGACAGGCTGCCACATACCAGGCTGGCATACCCACCCACAGCTGGTGAGAGTCATCAAGATATTCAACATCACCATCATTGTCGCCATAAAAGGTCAGATAGAAGAAGTGAGTGCAGATCAGGCTCTTATTGTTAGTCTAGTGTTTGACATCGCTGCATTCTCTTTTGTATAAGATATAGTAGCAGCCTGATATAAAGACAGGATATTTATCGTTGGTAGATAAATGTAAAGCAGATTAGTGGAATACCTCTAGCCAGGAGACGACTGTGGGGCCATCCCACTGGGCAAATGGCAGGCCTCTTTTCCTGGCATCTTCTAAAAGCTCATGTCTAAAGAAGAAATTGAAAGCAAAGGCAAAGGGAAAAAAGAGACATACCAAAAAGAAGGATTGGTAAAGAATGAAAACAACAAGAAAAAGAAAGAAGCACACACAAAGTCTGAGAAAGAAAGGATGCTTTTACTTTTTCTTCATCCTGCGGTCCCTCTCAGCCTGAGTGCCCAGTTTTCCCAGAGTCATAGTGTCACCGATGCTCATCTCAAAGTCTGAAATACAGCAAGCAAATCACACACAATTTCACACAGTGTGCATCAGTGTGGGACTACATATGATATGTACCCCACATTGTACCTGATAAGGCTGGTAGGGGATGTCCATCCCTGCCCAACGTCTGGTCCATTCGACCCTTCTCCTTCTTCCCAAACAATCGGCCGATAGATGACTTGATGCCTTTCTTCTGCTTTCTGCAAACAAATTTGGGAGCAAATGGTTTTATATGGAAATATACAGTCTGAGACATTGTGCTTAACAGTTAATTAGATAGATGAGTAATGGACTTAGTGTTTGTCTAGCAGACAAGGATTATTATAGGATTATTCGTAATGCCGTGGGTGCTTGTTTTGTACCCCTGCTGTACGTTGGTACAATCATCAGTATTTTATAGCAAACATTTATTGTTTTTAGGGACGTTTTATATTTACTGGGGAACAGTGGGGATGGATCAGTTTGGGAAAGAGCTTGTGTCTCTGTCTGCGTGTATTTTTACCCTCGACCATCCTCCAAGCTGCCTGTGAACTGAGCGAAATTGGTTTCCAGCCGTAAACTGCGAGGGGAAGAGGGAGGCGACGTCTCACACTTGATAGTAGCTTTGTCCACCTCCACTGGAGACTGGAAGAGTCACAACAGCAACTCAGTCACAAAAGCCACAGTCAGACAAAAAAGTAGTGCAATTTTACTTTGCAAACTTACCGCTACTTTCCTGCGGTGTTTCCTCAAGTCGCTAGGCTGTTAAAGAAAACAACATGCATCTTGTAAGTAGAGGCCACACAGTTTTAGTCCATCAACAGATAGAATGTGTGTGCTCTCTGACCAGAGTCATGATGCCTAGATGGTGGCTGGCGTTGCGTCCGTGGTGTTTAGGTGTGGAGTGGCCACTGGTGGGCGGGGAGGAGGAGGATGCCAGGGACTGGGCAGTAGCGGAGGTGGGCAGGGCCCGGGGTCGAAGCGTCACGTTGAGTCCGTCCATGCTGCCGCTGTTCACACGGGACTCGATCTCATCAGAGCGCAGGTCTGCTGACTCCCTCTCCACCTGGATCATCCTGCATAGACACACACACACACACAGACATGCACATATACATAGTTAAGATATCATTGTACTTTAATTAATATAAACAACTCTTTGTATCTGTAGTAGTAGGATAGATAATTTGTATGCCATAACAATGGTCCTCATTTTTTCTTTTATTTCTTTTGTGTTTTACAAGTAGGGCTAATTTTTTTTTATCTAATAATGAATACTTATTTAGAATACTAAGATTTTTAAAAAATTGCAATAATCCTTAAAAAGCTGGATATTAAAATGTGTAGAACCAGGATTTTATTACTTCGAGGTATTCTGGCTCCTCTGCAGCATAATCAGCAGCTATTTTGCATTTTCACTCCAGAAGCATTTTCTGAGGTGCCACATCAGGACCTTGTTTACTGTAAACTGCAAGAAACAGTGTCTTCTTCCAGCGGGAAACAGAACTGAAAAGTAAAGAGTGTTATCCACATGTTATCAACTCTGTATCTATCTGCCACTATCAGTTCTGGTGCATGCTGTATGGCCACAGGCCTCCATGTATGCATTGCTTTAACAAGCAGCAGCACCTTTATTTCCCGTGGTATCTTCAAAATGTTCCTGTTCTTGTAATTATTTATTGCATTATCTTTAATACTTTGTCCCCCTCTTATCTGTATCCTGTTTCTTGCTGCTGCACTGACCCAATTTCCCCATGGGGATCATGAATCTGTCATGTGCTGTAATCTAATATGCCTGCTATTTGTCACCTTATCTCTTCATTGATAGCGTCAAGCTGCTCCTGCAGCATGAGAGCGAGAGTCTGAGCGTCTGATTGGCCGCTGGGGGAAAGCAGGGCAGAGCTAACGTCGTCATCCAGGTCTGACTCTGCCTCGATGTCGCTGCCGAGGAGGTGGCTGACGCTGCCACGCAGAGATGGGTAGTCCTGTTCAAACACCGCACACACCTGAACACAACAAACGCACATGAGCTTCATCACAAATGAATGTAACAATAGAATATACAATATGAATGAATCCTGATTAAATGCATACATTAAAAAAATACAATATGACACTTGGGGAAGTATGTGGCCAGTTATGAGAAAAAATGGATGAACAGGAAACTTACATCAGACAGCATGTCCATAGCAGCAGGTGAGAGAGAGACAGAAAGACAGAGAGGTTAGTAAAGAATGGTAAGTTAGGAATGGAGATCATCATAGATCAGCCAAGCACTGACGCTTATTAGCAAAGCAGACATGAACTTGGATACAGCACTGGTAAGGAGCTGTATGTGGTTAGAAGAATAGCTGACACATGATTTTGCGATCTGTAAGTTGGCCATTGTGCCTACTGTACGGGTATGTGAAGAACTGTGGGTTTGGTCTGATAAAGACATTATTCACACCTTGTTTGGGTCATCTCGTAGCGCTGACAGTCTGCCCTTCTGTGCCCGCCTGATCACAGTCGTACTGTAGTGGCCATCTTGGCCTTCCACCACAGAGAAGCGAAGGTCGCTGGAGCTACCCAGGTGAGACCTGGGATTATATACATGGAACAGATTACCACTGATAATGTGTAAAGCAGTATGTTAGAGGCTGAGTATGAAAGAGCATGTGTTTAGGAAGTCTGCGTCTACCGAGGGTGAGTTCCATCTCCAAACACCCCACTGCGACGTTTCAAATGGTCGATCTCATTTCTCAACTTCTCAATCTCTCCAATCAGCCGTTCCTGAGGGAGAGAGGAGCATTATGGGTAGTTAATGTCGGTTGATTATGGAGCTGATTTCAACTGCTCTAAGGTACAGTATCAGTGTAGTTATATTTTACCACAGATTATGGGGTATATACGCAAACTGGTGTGGTGACGATAGCAGTTCTCTACAAGTCTTACTGACCCTTGTGTGGTGAAATTCTTCAAGCTGTTTCTGGCAGTTCTCGAGGTCCTGTATGAGGGAGTTCTAGACAAGAAAGTCATGAAACCATGTCAAAACAAATCTGCTGTCCAAGTAGACCATGTTTTATATATTTGTTTGTTTGTGAGGCGGTAATGACAGCAATGTGAACAATGTGTGTTTGCGTGTGTGTGTGTGTGTGTGTGTGTGTGTGTGTGTGTGTGTGTGTGTGTGTGTGTGTGTGTTGTGTGTGTGTGTGTTGTGTGTGTACAGGCCCTGCCTTGTCCTCCAGGGCTGCCATGCGTTCTTTCAAATGGAGCTGCAGTCTTTCATTGGACTCAGTGAGCAGACGATCCACAGTGTCAGATAAGCGCTTGTTGTGCTCCTCATTCATTTTCTCCCTCTGACGAGCCTGATGAGCGGGGAGAGAGAACCAGACGGGTGGAATGACATCATGAAATTTTGTCTTTGACACAGACTCCATTTGAGTGTATTTATGTTGTTAATCAAACATCTCTGAATGGATTAAAGGATGAAGTGTGTATTTAGCCCAAGATCACCAGCTGCCAAACATAGGTCTTCTTGGCCCAACAATCTATCTGACAACCAGAGTGATTTAATTACAGTCATTTACGTGATGATGAAAAAGGGTTAAATGCCTTCTGTTAAATGTGAAACGCTGTGCTTAATATGTATTGTAGAGTAATTTCATTAAAGTAAATTAACACAGACGCACACAAACACACATCCGCATCCTCAGAAAGCTCCTTCAACTAAATATAGTCATGAGATCACACAGAGAGAAAGAGAAATTAGCCTTGCGTGAATTATTCAGAGTCTAAAGATAGCAGCCAATCAGTCTTATGGGAGGGAGGAGGAATGTGTTGCAGCAAGATATGTGGATTTGGTTCAAATTCACGCAACAATGCACCAGGAAAATAGAGAGCTCTTCATATGTGCGTCTGTCCTGTGTGTTTATGTGTGTGTGCGAGGTGTATGCATGAGGGGGCACAGAGCCAAGAGCCAAGGCGTCCAACTAATGTGAAGCATCAGACCACACACACACACACACACACACATGCACACACATCATAGTGAGAGGTCAGAGAGCCCCTGCAGGGCTGGTGCACACACACAGACACACACACACACACACACACACACACACACACACACACACCCACACATATACAAAGACACACACCCTTCCTAGCTCTTGGTTCTTCTCCTCCAGTTGTGATTCCAGCTGTCTGAGCCGCTCCTCCACGTTGCCATGACGCTCCTCAGCCTGCAGGGGGAGACACTTACATATAAGTACAACTGCCTCTATAAGCCCTGTAACTACATTTATATGTCTGGCTGCTTCTATATTGTCTACTAGAAATCAATGACACTCATTTTAATTTATCAGTATCCTCTGCTGTAATCTCTACAGTTGTGTATGTTCTGGTGTGTGTGTGTGTGTGTGTGTGTGCACGCATGTTGCCTTGGAAAGCGCTGCCACTCTCTGTGCCAGTTCAGCCTCCACCTCTGGCAAAGTCTCAGCCTTCCTCATGGTCTGAGCCAGTCTCTGTTCTGCCATCTCCAGCATCTCCTGCAGCTGGCGCACCTTCTCTTCACTCTGACACACACTACACACACACACACACACACACACACACACACACACACACACACACACACACACACACACACACACACACACACACACACACACACACACACACACAAATGTAGAAGACGAACATTAGTGCAATCACAAGAGAATTGGAACCAGTGTAGTGCAGCAGGTGAGTAGCAAGGACACGACACATGGGGGGTTGAGTAGAGGATGTTGCTTGTATTTCCCATGTGGTGCTGAACTCAGATTGACCCTGAACTACACATGAACCTTTGAGTGGGATGTTTTTTATTGCTAACTCACCTAAGTGACTGCAATATTCTACAATTCCTTAAATACACGGTCACACTTTTGAAAAACTCATTGATTTTCTGATCTTATTATTACCTCAGCTTTATTGTAAATGACAGGGTTGAAGCAATGAAAGATTAATATTTTGAAAGAGAGAGAGAGAGAGAGAGAGCATATTAGCCTGAATCCATAACTATATGTCACCTTGCATCAAGATAAATGTGCCATTTTTAGTGTCACTTAACAGCACATTAGGATTGTAACACATCCCAGGAAACCTGAACACAGCAAAATAATGACAATAACACTTGTGTCAGGTTCATTAAATGATTTGTGATAGAGCAATTGTCCCTGTTGTTTTTGAAGAACCTGTGCATAGATCCCAATTGTGCTTTGTTGAATTGCTCAGCTTGGTTTAATGTAACAGGATGTGAAATGAAACAGTTGTTGAGCATTTCAAGTGATTTTTTTTTTCAACAATTATCTCTGAATGACAGTTTACTACTTTGACTGATAATTATACACTTAACCAGGAAGAGGGTTTATCATGTACACAGTTATCTTATAGACCCGCATGTGGCTTGTGCGTGTATGTTACCTGTCGGTGCAGGGAGTCCTTGGTGGCAAGTTCATTCTCCAGTTTGTCGTTGAGGTCGTGGATGTGCGTGGTCTCCCGCTGGGCAGCCAGGTAGCGCTTCTCTAATGTTGTTATTCTCTCCTCCATATCCTCTCTCTGCAGGTGCAGAGACACAACAACAACAACAACAACAACAACAACAAAAGGAAACTCGTGAGAGAGAAGCCAACAACAATGTGCATGGTGAAGCCAAAAGCCATAATCAGTTTTACTTTATCACCATGTGTATGACCAAATTTCCCCTTCCCCTATGATTTAACGTATATCATCTGTATTAACCGTCATATATTTATGCTGTTAGAATACAAGAAATGTATGTACTTTACCGTCCTGTAACGTCACAAATGTATGTCAGTTCAATTGACAATGAAGAGAGAGCAAAATGTATTACAGGGATTTACCAAAAGCTTTAAGTCATTTCTCCATTTCCATTTTTGTATTGTGTGACAATAGTGCCCAGCACACAAAAATCAAGGAAATGGTGCATGCACACTACTACAGTTACTTTTTTAAAATACATTAAAGAGCTTTGTTAGAAGACTATGTGGTTACTACTTACACATCTGTGCTGTCATCATTTCACACCTATACTTTAGCCAGTAATGCTCCGTACAAACTGATAATACTGGCAAGTAGTCAAATAGTTGAGGTTTTGCTTCTCTATCAAGCAACATACACAACACTGTGCATGTTCGTAGCCTTCTACGATCATGCACAGTTTCCTAATGACACGGGAAACAAAGGTTTATTTTTTAAATAACTATATAGTAATATAATAATATCGATCTATGTTTTGTCCCACAAAACAGCAGACTGTTAAATCTCATTAGCTTTTTACTTAAAAAGCAGCAGGTTTGTGCAACCCCCTGTTCTCTCTGCTTTTTCCCAGAACAAAGGCACAAGTGCTTCACTCTCACCTCTCTCTGTTCTCTCTGTTGTTTGATTGACAGCTCCTCGCTGCGGCTCAGTTCTCGACGTGCGTTTGCAAGCTCTGCCTCGAGATCTGCCACCCGGGCGTTTAGACTGGCAGAGTGCTCGCGGCTCTGGGCCAGGTCCTTATTGGTCCGATCCAGCAGCTCCTGAAGTTCAGACACCCGGCTGCCATCATCGTGAGCGTCTATGGAGCCGTTGGGCAGTCTCTGTAAGGCGGACACACAAATTAATAGATATATATACACAGCATCACATAAAATGTATTTAAGGACTGAGTAACATAGATAGCAAATTAAGAGTTTTTCGAGAACCGATAAAGTTGGATGACCTAGATAAAAAAGTGTTGGTTTTTATGCATGCAAGGGCGGGTTGAGTGAGGTGAGGCTGCCATGTTGTTGTTTTGATGTTGTTTCTCTTCCCTTCACAGCTCAAAGTGCAGTTAATTCCAGGGCCTTAATTAAACAAACCTTTGGGGACACATATACAGACAGGCAACTCAGTGGGCAGCCAAAGCTAGGAGGACCCCCCTCCGCTGCCTCATGTTCTCGTTTTGCCTGCTTATACCTTACAGAAAAAAAAAACATTCACACAAACACTGGGGGTAATAGAGCTAAATGGTGTGAGGCTGTGTAATAAAACACACCTGGTGATTTGTGCAACTGCGTATAGGTTTAGTCATACAAAATCATCAGCTTTACTCCCAGGGACGCTGGAAACAGCAGTGTACAGCCCCATTTGACTGACAATCTATAGCAATGAATGGGTACGACATGGACCTGAGATTGCCTTGGTTGGAGTTCCAAAACTACTTTCCCTAAAAAAGTAAATGTGGCAATGATCATTTTATGGTGCCCTTTATGAAAACATACCCTAATGCATGTTGGTTGCAACATCAGTAAGTGCAGTAACTTTCACCCGGGTCCTGACAATTCACACTGTGAGACGTCTAAACTACACTGTTCCTCTTAATGCTCGGACTCTAGCCAATCCTCTCATCTTATCTGCCTGTGGCCATCCTTTGATGGAGTAATCTCCCTGCTCTCATCCTTTCTTAAGAGGAAGTTATTGATTTATCAAGTTTAATTATTCTTTAAATAAAAACATATTGACAATTTTTTTTGCCTTCTCTATCTGTAAGCCAAAGAAACAGGAGCCAAAGTAAGTGGATCTTTTACTGCTCCTCCTCGGCTGCTTGCTCATAAAAAAGAAGTAGAACTCTATCCAGATACAAACAGGCTCTGCTGTTTGATCACGAGGAGGTTTGTTACTCCCTGTGGATGGACCCAGACACAGTTGCATAATATGTGCCTGTTTTAGGGCTGGCCTCAAACCAGGGAGGACAGGGCTCGAACAGAGAGCAAGAGCAGCTAACATTAGCTGATTTATCAGAAAGGCAATCTGGCACTTATGCTACTTTAGGTCCATACACCTGCGTTGTGTATAATAAGTGTGTGTGTGCAGATGTGTTAAAGTGCAGGAGAAAGCCAGAGAGAGGATACAATGAAAGTGACCAATAGCCATGACGAACAAATACTAGAAGCAGACATAAAATAAAGCACAGAGCAGAAAAACAATCACACAGCCAGGAAGACCTTCCATGTAGGTTTGGATCCGTCTGTTCGCTCCACTGAGTCTCCGTCCTTCCTTTGTCTCACCATGTTCAACTGCAATGTAGATTAAAAAGAACAAAAAACAAGAACAATGAGCAAAGTCGCACATTTACCACCTTTTCTTTTCCCTCAGTGAATCAAAGAACAAAACGCAGCCTCCCAAAGAGAAGCCTGGCTCTCAGGCTGCCAGCATCCTTCAGACTACATGCTCTACCATACTTTGCATAACTACAAATATGAATTATACTCAGAATAGAGGAGGGAGGGTTTGTATCAGTGAGGGTCTGCACCTCCTTTAAAACTGTGATCAGTGCAACTTAACAAGCTTTGACTTTAAATCTTATATAACCCACTGGGATTCTGCTTCTACTGAGGCTGCTTTGAATATTTGGCATAATTTTATCTTTGGAATGATTTCTCTTATGACATTTTTAAATAGATGAGTACAGAGGGTTGGTGTGTGTGTGTGTGCGTGTGTGTGTGTGTTTGTGTGTGTGTGTGTGTGTGAACAGAGGGCTGAGAAGACAGAGCCTCTCACCCAGCGTGACACTTGGAGTGTATATTAGATCAGACAGGAGGCTTCAACAGATGTCTGCTAGGAATTGAACAGATGTTTCACTTACCAATAACCACACATTAGAACACACACATGCACACACGCATACACACACACACACACACACACACACACACATGCACACATTAATATAATACACACACACCACACCTCTTGTGTGGTAGCTGCTAGCTGTCCCTCCAGGGTGGCCACCCTCTCCAGAGCCACCCGAAGCCTCTCACGCACCTGACAAAAACATAGAGAACACACATCAATACAAAGTCCTGAAACACGAGAACATTTTTATGTAGAAGCACAACACTGGTGTGAACTTGCGAGAGTATGGATGAATGTAATTTAGGGACACTGAGAACTTTAATTTGGAAACAGAGAGATTTATTTGTCTCACAATTCATAATTACTTTAATTGCTGGTATAACATATAGTATTTAGCATTATAATTTCTCAGATAGTGGCCAGGGCCCTTTATTCACTTCAGCTGAAAAGAGAAGCAACTTTATCATTTTTAATTTTCCTGTTATATAACTAAATTATCATATTTTATTAGCAATTCCTCTCTTTTTTTTCATCTGCTTCCACTTGCTGTCTTACTGTAATTAGCTGTTTGCTGTTAATTAAAACTCAGGACTTTCTCTATCTGTTTCACATTAAAAGCCTTTCAGCGATAAACTATTCCCTGTCATGGAGGACTTTTACTCTGAAACTCAGGAAGTGTTGAGGTTCATTAACAGCTTAACAATGAGAAAGCAAACAGCAAAACTGAGCTGATCAGAATTAAAAAGTCAAACTTGCAGCAACAAAATGGTGTAAATATGGAAATACCATGACCTGAAGTTACCAAGAGGCAATTGTTCCCTCCTGGATTTATTTGACAAAACAGGCTGCAGCCCTTACATGTGTGTATGTGTGTATGTGTGTATGTGTGCACACCTTTTCATCCAGAGCCTTGTGGTGTTCAAACAGCGACTTCAGAGCTTTGAGGACCTCCACCTCGCTGGAGACTCCAGATGGTGGGGGTGCCTGTCTTTTCACCACTGTCATCCTCAGACTGCGTTCGTGACGAGACACCAGACACTCCAGGTGCTCCAACAGCAGCTACAGCACACACACACACACACACACACACACACACACACACACACACACATGCATGCACCACCAAAGAGAATACTAATTTCAAGCTTAGAAACATTATTTGTTTTCATCAGCATCACCACACACTTGCACTCGCACATGCACACGCACAAACACGCACATACCCTGGTGTTGTTCCTTTCAGCTTTCAGCTCAGATATTTCCTCCTCTTTCTCCAGCAGCTGCTCCCGGCATATGTTCAGCTCCTTCGTCAGGGTGGCAAACTCCTACACAAGATGCACAGACACACACACACACACACACACATAACACGCGTACAGAGGTTAATACAGTATCACTGATCAACATAATGGCCTCTACTTTTGTGAAACTGAGCAGCTTTAATCTTAGGGTGCAAACACAAGTGGGTGTGGCGGTGACCACACAAGCACCCTCCTGGCACGGAGCGGCACAGGAAATTGTTAGCACTTGTGGGAGGAACACTTCATCAGCAGGTGAAGTTGGGGCAGTCCAGGCTTGCTACCCCAAAGAGGAAACTGAGAGATGCTGAATGGGAACGTTTTCTGTGCACCTGCGATAAGAGGTGGTCTGAGCGAGAGGAAACCTCATGATAAACTAGGCACCGAAATGGCACTGTGTTATCTGATCTGCATAAACACAAGCTTGGCTGTGCCACTCTGCCCGCCCCCAGCGCCCACCTCTTTGTTTTTGGAGCCATAAAATTACAGTAGCAAAAACAAAAACAAGTAGACTTGTGCCTGGTGACATAGAAATGAATATCTGCAGTGCTGAATATAATGAGGTTGAAATTATTTTCTAAACATGTCTTTTGAACCAATTTCAACCTGTTCTGATCAAAATGATATGTTTCATTATCATGCACAAAGAGTAAATATGAATGTAACTGAGAGAGCAGAGAACAGTATCGTCCCTTTCTCCCTGACAATCACACACATCCAGTAAATACAATTCTCGATGATGATACAAGGACTTTTCTCTTTTTAATAAACAGAGAACACATTATCCAGAATGAATTCTTATCTGTGAGAGAAATGTATTCCACTTAAGAGCAATTTCATCTATTGATGTTCATTATTCACGCTCCTCAACGTTGACAGAATGCTATGCACTTCACTGACGCTTTTAAGCCCTTGCAGTGCTCCAGATGTCCTTTTATAGCCACATTTGAAAAAACTCGCCCGATGAGTGACTGCTAGTTGGACCACAGTGGTTTCTGGTTGGTTGGGATCCACTCAGTGTGTCACGAAATGGTATGTTTGAAGCAATTTTCCGCCACTGTGCAAACTGGTAGCACAGCGCAAAGTGCAGATGCAGCTCTGGGGTGTTGTTGACCCCTGGTCAATATGATACTGTAACATAGTATGTTTTTCACAACAGGAGCACACTTGCTGCAATTTGAAGATATTAGCCCACCCCAACATGATAATTCAGTCATACATCCCTATGTCAGCTGAGAAACCACTCAAATTAATGGTGCGACATTTTGGAAAAAACACTTATTTGCTATGTTGTTGAGAGTTAGCTGAGAAGAAAGATACCACTCTCATGTCTGTGTGGTAAATATGACTACAGCCAGTCGCTCATTAGCTTAGCTTAGCATAAGCATTGTAAACAGGGGGAAAAGCTAGCCATGCTCTGTCCAAATGTAAAAATAATCCACCTGCCAGTACAATAAAATTCACCAATTGATAGATTATATGTATTTTCTTTAATTGGCTTGAGAAATGTTGTTAGATAGATTTTACTTTTGGAAAGATTGTAAGCTGGCTGTTTTCCCCTGCCTCCAGTCTTTCTGCTACGCTACGCTAACAAAAATATATCTGGGGCCACCATTAGCCTGTTTTTCTCTTGTACAGAACCTCTACTGTCGAGTGTGCACTGCATTACTTCATGTAGTTTCATACCTTCACACAATTCAAGATAGCAGCGCCACCTTTTCACAGCTCCACAAACAACCACATATTTGATGGGCATTTTATGTTCTTTTGGAGCTGCAAAGAGATGGCTCCATTAACTTTAACAGTTTGGAGGAACCTTGTGATGGAACTGCAGCAGGATTTTGCTGTGTGTTTGATTTTTACAGTCAATAAACTTTAATGGCATTTCACCTGGCAATCTTTCATTTTGGGGTGAACAAGTCCTTTAAAATCACAGTGGTCAAAGGTCTGTGAAGACGTTATGACTTAGTCCTTGCAAAAAATCTTAAAAAAAAATCTTGATCTTAAAATGGTTAGCCACACACCAATTGTAAAGTATTTGAAAATGTTACCAGTGTCATAGGCTGGCTGAATATCTATCAAACTGACCAAACAGCTGTTAAAAGTTTTCCAAAAATCGACAATGTCAGATGTCTTTTGCTGAAAATGATAAACTTCACCTGCTCATGTCTGGGATTATAATGGCTCCACATCTTGTCCTGCTCAGATAAATCATAGCGGTGTAAACTGAGGCTCACATGCGTCTCCTCAGAGGAAAAGGTCCTTGCTTTTGTCCTTCTTGTTCAACTAATATTTCAAGATCTGTCTTTCTGCTATCTAAGCAGTCAATTCTCATGTCAGAGGGCATTTCCCGGTCTCCCATACTTAATCCACTTGTCCATATGATTTTCTGTTACTGTTATTTTGTCTGCCACTGATTAGATTTACACAACACAAAAAGCGAAAACCAGCCAGTGACTCACACAGTTTCTGCTGGAAGTTAATTCTTAATGTTATTTGTAGTTCTGGAGCAGAGGTTGGGTGGTTATTTGTTTACTAGAAAATATACATCAGTGTGAGTCTGTTTGTGTGTGTGTGCGTGTTGTTTGAACATCTCTTGGTGCTTTGTTGGCATTTCCTGTGAGCTTGGCTTTAGTCCAAACCAATATCCAGATGCTTATGCTCCCTGTGCTTGTCTTAAACACGTGCACGTATGCACGCACCCACGTGTGCACACACTTCACACACACACACACACACACACACACACACACACACACACACACACACACACACTCACAGAGAGTTGTGGTGCTCCTTACAGCCATAACACTGCACTCTTGGTCTCGCATTTGTCACTGATGACCCAAACACTGGACCTGACTAAGAGATGCTCTGTAGCAGAGATGGTAGAACATTGATTGATGGGCATGGCTGAGAATGCCAGTACAGTTATACACCTGCCACCTGATCCTGGACTGTCAACAAGTCAGGTGTAACCAGAACAGTTGTCACCCAACAGCTGAGGTAGAGAGCGCATTTTCAGCCAAATGTAGAAATGTCCCTGTTTTAGGGAGAGGTACAGTCTAGTATTCATAGTGGTAAAGTGGTGGCAATGGCTCTACTGTTCTCCCGCACCGATTCCAACCATCAAACTGAGTTTGCTGAACCTGACAGGGTTGTATAATGAACATTCCCATCTAATCTTCCAAATTATCTGGGAAATCTCTGATCATAGTGATATTAGCAGCTGTGTCCTGATTAAAGGACCGCATCCTTCGGAGGCTGCATGTGAAGCCCGATTGCGTCACAGCGGCACGACAAGGCTGTCCCATTCAGAAGGCTCCATCGAATGCAGCCGAGAAACGTGGCCTTCTTTTCCTAAAAAAATTAAGGATCCAACGGGTGGATCCTTCGTGCTGGCCCAACCTATCCCAAGATTCACTGAGCGCCGGTGGTGAAAATAATATGGCAGAAAACAACGCAGGCAGAGAGCCCGAGGATTACACTCAGCTCAGTTCAACAGCTAACGGCACAACTGTTAAAACCAAGAGCCTTAAAACCTCAAGTTTTTGTTAAAAAAAGTTACGTTGTGTCAAGGTTGCTAGGCGACAGGAGTTGCACTTTGTGACGCATCAGTAAGGGTGGGCACAGCTGATGATGCAAAGCAAAAAATCCTCCCCAGACCAGACCGTCTTGTTTCAGTTCAGCCTCCACAGTACACTACAGCCACACCATCGTAGACGGCGTCCTCCGAAGGATGCGGCTCCTGAATTGGGACACAGCTTATATGAAACAAGTATAAACTCAAACGTTAAGAATGTATGGTGCCATATGACATAATAAAGCAAAACTAATAGACGAACTTGGATATTCTAACAAGGCATATAAATACAGTGCTGAAGCCTGACAAATGCCAGAAGTTATTGTTGAATTTTTTTATTCAATGTTGTAATGTTATACATCTCATTAAGAAAGTATTAAGCTCAGTATAAACTGCTGAATGGTTTCATGCAGCCCTGCTGAATATTATAACAAATCTCCTGCAGCTTTCATGACACAGAAACCGCAAACACATGGAAATTGGTTTTTAAAAAAAAAAAACATTGAAAAGATTTGTTTTTTCTTTCTTAAGATGACAAGCTGAGTACTTCAGGAGCTCACAGCGGATATTTCTAATGGATCTTAGTGGTGAACTGAAATTTAACAGATCTCAAATGACGTAATGTACTGCCAAGTTACGTATACTCTCCTACACCTCCATCCAACTACAGGCCTCTGTGTCTGAAGCTGTGTGTGAAATTTATCAGACACAGCAGCCGGGTAGCAAATCAAATTTGCCCTGTGCTTTTAATGTTTATCTTGTGATAAGTACTGTGTAATGACCTGGACTGTTTTACTATTCTACACTGTGTGGATGGGATATATAAAAGCAACATTACATCAAGTGGGAGAAGCAAAACACGTTCCCACTGACTGAGCTGATTTGTCAATAATGATCATGTAAATCGAAGAGTTCAGATCTGAGAAAAACAAAAACACTAACACAAACACAAACTCACAGATTTCTGGATGTCTATTGACCTCGCCCATCGTGCTGCAAACAACAAACAAGACAGAGAAGCGGGGAAGGGACTGAAGAGGGAAGAGAAAGGGAAGGAGCGATGGGAGGAAAGGGGGGGAAAATGGGTCAGCTTGTTCATTTTACTTTTCCCTTATTCCACAGGGGTGCACCAACAGACAGGAGCTCAGCCAAATCCACCAACAGATGTTTTAGCTCACTGTCTCTTTCAATCATGGCAAAAAAGCTCAACAGGCCACCTCTTGCGCTCTCTAGTTTATCTCTTCATCCTGACGTCCTTTTGTCTCGTAGGAGCTCTCTGCATCCCTCTCCCCATGAACTCTTTCAATGCGCAAAACCCCCCCCCCCAAAAAAAACTAATGGGAGAAGAATGACAAATAGTTATGAATACACAAAGGTATGAAAGCATAACTTTTGTCAGGAGTATTATATAACAGAACAGACAGTGTCATATATAAAATATAAC